AAAAGGCTATTCTACTAATGGAATGGTCAAATTGTGTACTATTGACAATATTAATACAATAAATTCTTCTTACTTTGTGTGTTCTTTAGATTTATGGCATGAAAGGTTAGGCATATAGGATATTCTACTTTGCAAAGAATGATTAAAGATGGTATGATATCATGTGAATCAACAAATAATGATAAGTGTAAAATCCGTGTTGAATCAAAAATGATTAAAAAATCTTTTCAAAGTGTAGAAAGATCATCTAGCTTACTTGACTTAGTTCATACCGATCTATGTGAACATAATGGCATGTTAACTAGAGGGGGTAATAAATATTTCATAACATTTATTGATGATTATTCTAGATTTTGTTATGTTTATTTNNNNATTCTAGATTTTGTTATGTTTATTTGATGAAACATAAGTATGATGCATTTCATATGTTTAAAGCATATAAAAATGAAGTAGAAAATCAAAAGAATAGAAAGATTAAAATTCTTAGAAGTGATAGAGGTGGTGAGTACTTTTCTAGAGAATTTGATATCTTTTGTGAAGAACATGACATAATACATCAAAGTAGTGCACCTAGAACACCGGAACAAAATGGTTTAGCGGAAATGAAGAATAGAACCTTAGTTGAGATGGTAAATGCTATGTTAACAAGGTCTAAATTACCTAATAATTTATGGTGAGAGGCATTACTTGCTGCATGTCATATAGGTAATAGAATTCCTTCTAAGAAACTTAAAGTTACTCCTTATGAGTTATGGAAAGAAAGAAAACCGAATATTGGATATTTTAAAGTGTGGGGGTTTTTAGCCTATTATAAAAACACTGATCCTAGAAGAGCAAAACTAGGACCAAAAGGGATCAAGAGTGCTTTTGTTGGATATGCTATAAATAGTAAAGCATATAGGCTACTTGATCTAACATCGAATGTGATTATAAAATCACGAGATGTGGATTTCTTTGAAAACTTGTTAAATGTGGATGAAATTGATCAATATCCATTGGAAACTCAAAAAGAAATCTTGGCTTCTAATAAATCACTAGAAACATCTTCGCAAGATGTAAATGAGTCTAGTGAACCTAGAAGAAGCAAGAGAACTCGTAAATAGAAGGTATTAGGACATGATGAGATTGATTCTCAACGGATTTCTCTATGCTTGGTTGAAGCAAGTAGAGAAGATATAGTAAGAACAATTTCTCTATGCTTGGTTGAAGCAATGACTTCTAGAGATAGCTGTTTTTGGAAAGATGCTATAAATGATGAAATGGATTTTATAATGTCCAACAATACATGGAAGATTGTTGACTTACCGGCTGGATCGAAAGCCATTGGTTGTAAATGAGTATTTCGTAGGAAATACAATCGCGAGGGTTCAATCCAAACTTACAAAGCAAAATTAGTTGCTAAAGGTTTTCGACAA